CTTCTGTAAATAATAATGATACTAACATAGAAATAGATGAAATCAAAGAATACCAATCTGCTAGATGGGTTTTCTCCACCGGAGGCTGCATGGCGTCTGCTTGCTTTTGCAATAAGTGAAATGACTCCAAGTGTTTGCCAGTTGCAATTGCATCTTGATGGACAACAATTTGTTTCTTTCAAAAATAACCAAACTGTGGATCAAATAATAAACAATCCAATGATTAAAAAAATGATGTTAACAGAATTCTTTCTTATGAACAAAATCAATAACGATGCTATAAATTTGAATTTACTGTATAAGGAGTTTCCTCAACACTTTGTATGGTCATCATCATACAAAATGTGGTCGCATCGAAAACAACGACTTACTATCGGGCGTATTGTCACATGTCATCCAACCGAAGGAGAAAGATATTATCTTAGGTTGCTTCTAATGAATGTAAGAGGACCAACATCATACGAAGATCTTCGTACAATGAATGAAAGATGCTACACTACATTTAGAGAAGCTGCAGAAAAAAGAAGCTTATTACGTTCTGATAACAACTTAATTGATTGTATGTCTGAAGCAGTCAGCTATCAAATGCCTTATAGTTTAAGAAGACTATTTGCAACATTATTAGTTTATTGTAACCCTGGTAACACAATAGATCTTTGGAAAAAATACGAAGACTCTATGTCAGAGGATTTTAAAACAATTCCAAATGTTACAAAAAATGATATTCAACTCTTAGTTTTAAATCATATCAATGAAGTTCTACTTTCAATGGGACAAAATGTAAATGAATTCAAAGATATATTTGGAAATCTTAGATCTTCTAGAACAACTAATGAGGCAAAAGAAATTTATTTTGAAAGAAATATAATAGTGTCTGAAGAAGATATACTTCTACAAAACAAATTAAATATTGAACAAAAAAGAACATATAACATAATTCTTGAAAGAGTATATTCTAATAAATCAGGAGCTTTTTTCATTGATGGTCCTGGGGGAACTGGAAAAACATTTTTATATCGAGCTTTGTTGGCTGCTGTAAGAACAAAAGGATTCATAGCTTTGGCAACTGCAAGTTCTGGTGTGGCAGCTTCAATACTTCCGGGAGGACGAACAGCTCATTCACGTTTCAAAATTCCTGTTGACATCGATCACAATTTCACTTGCAATATTAGTAAACAAAGTTCGTTAGCGATTCTAATTCGAGATTCAAAACTAATTGTTTGGGATGAAGTCTCAATGGCAAAAAAAACATGATTGAAGCTCTTGATACACTTCTAAAAGATCTTATGAATACAAAAGCATTGTTTGGTGGAAAAGTAGTAGTTTTGGGGGGAGACTTTAGACAAACACTTCCTGTTGTTCGTAGTGGAAAAAAGAAAGACTTTATAAATCAAAGTTTATTATACTCCCGTATTTGGAATCATCTTGAAAAATTGTGCTTATCTGAAAACATGCGTGCGAAAAGAGATCCAGCATTTTGTGCATATTTAATGAGAATTGGAAATGGAGAAGAAAAAA